CTCAAGGGAAAGAAGGGGGCATTTGGTCTCCAGTGGACCCCCTTTGCAGACTGCCTGTGGTTCTAATGGAGGCTTACAGCCTGGTGGTCTGAAACATTCTCAGTTGAGAAAGTACAGGTGATCACAACAGTAAAAGGAGAGACCCCTTTAACCACAGGTGGCTTAGTTCTCCTCAGCCTGAACTGGGCGGCTGCTATACCGAACTCCAGGCCGGCCTGAGAGACAGTTACTGTAGCTGTCAGTAGACCTGTAATTCATCTCTTTCATCCTCTAGCTTAACTTTTCTGGCCTTTAAGGTGTCCTCTGTTACTAAAGACTTTGACAACCATGTCTAATAAAATGGGGGAAAAAATCTGGGGTCCCTAGTCTAGTTTCTGAAACCATTGTTTGTACCTATAGGGGCTTGGCATATAAACTGTAAATCCAGGATGGCTTAACATTCCTGATCCTCGGGGCACAGACTAGCAAAGTTAGCCACAATTTCAGCTAGCCCAGACTGACAGAGAAGCTCCCTGTAATAACGCCTATGATTTGTTACCATCGGTGAGGTTGATATCAACTTTTCCATTTCTTCTGTGCTTAGTCACATAGTCTCAAAAAGGCCTTTCTCCTGCATTCTCCTATGTCAGCGACGTGCTGTGACCAGGTGGACCCTGTCAGGCTGAGCTAGGAGTATGAACTGCATCAGGCCAGACGTGCACTAAAGACCAGGCTATTATGGGACTTCTCCTCCCCTGTGACAAATGCTTAGGATGACACAGATTTCTCCCCAAGTTAAACCAAAAACCACAGTGAACCCCTTGGATTCCCTTTATGGAGGTGGCGCAATCGACCCTAGTTTAGATCGTATTGGGTCAGGTCTCACTTAGGGAAGAGGCATGTGCCTAAATGGTGCCCAGGTCTCCTTTAGCCACTTTGCAAAGGAGAAGGATGTTTTCTGAGGGGGAGGAGATGGCTTTTCACTTGTTCTCTATGTTCCCTTTAAGAAGTAGCTGAGCTGGAGAGACGGCTCAGCAGTTAAGAGTACTGACGATTCTTCCAAAGCATGGGGGTTCAATTCCAGCATTCACATGGTGGCTTACAACTCCAGTTCCAGGGGGATCTGATGCCCTATTTACAGGCCTCCAAGGGCATTGTACATCCATGGTGCACAGACATACATGCAGGCAAACACTGACACACAAAAATAAGAATAAATTAATCTACCATGATGGTGCACACTTTTAATCCCAGCAATCGGGAGGCAGAGGCAGGTGGAGTCTGAGTTTGAGGCCAGCCTGGTCTACAGAATGAGTTCTAGGACAGCCAAGGCTTCACAGAAAAACCCTATTTTTTAAAAAAAAAAATTGATTAATCTTTAAAAAGTGCGTGAGGGAGAGAGCATATCCAGCAATAAAGAAAATACAGTCTGAGGCAATCCTGGAAATGGAACGAAGAGGGCCCAAGGGAGGATGTATAAATCTCACTGCAAAGGGGAAATAAAAAACACAGAGGAAGTGATGGAAGGGAGGAAACAGGATAGGAAAGAGTGCTGAGGGGAATGAGGGTGGGGATCTGATGTGGGGAGAGAGGGGCGTGGGGGAAAGGAGGACAGAGTGGCTGCAGAGAGAAGAGAAACCGTGTCCTGGGGCATCTCTGAGAAAGGCTGGAGAGCTTTCTCAGGGTAAGTTCTGGGAGAATATGGGGTGACTCTAGCAGAGACTCTTACTAGCAAAGGACATGGAGACTGAAGAGGCCTCCCTCTAACCAGGCAGGACTCCAAATAGAGGGAGGGGAACACCAACCTTCCTACAAAAACTTTGACCCAAAATTTACCCTGCCTACAAGATATTCAGGAAGAACAGAGACTGAGAGAATGTCCAACCAATGCCTGGCCACACCATGGGAGAGAGCCAACTCCTCACACTATTAGCAACACTCTGTGGTGCTTGCAGACAGGAGCCTAGCATAGCTGTCCTTCAAGAGGCTCCACCCAGCAGTGGATTGAAACATGCTGAGACTCACAGCTAAACATTGGGCAGAGCACAGGGAGTCTTGTGGAAAAGTGGGAGGAAGGATAGAAGGAGCTAGAGGGAACAGTGTCTCCACAAGAAAACCAACAAAACCAACTAACCTGGGCCCAGAGGAGCTTATGGAGAGTGAAACTACAACCAAGGACCATGTATGGACTGGACCGAGCCCCCTACACATATGTACACAATGGATGGCTTAGTCTTCATGGGGGTACCCTAGTAAGGGGAGCAGAGGCTGTCTCTGACAAGGACTTGCTTGCATGCTTTTTGATAGCTTGAGGGCTGCCTTGTCAGGTCAGTGTGGTATAGGATGAGCTCAGTCCTGTTACAACTTGTTTTGCTGGGATGGGTAGGTGGGGGGGTTCCCTTTTCAGAGGGTGAGGAGGAGGATACAGGGAAGGAGGGTTGGACCAGGAAGAGAGAAGGGAAGGAGCTATGATTGGGATGTAAAATGAATGAATGAATGAATGAATAAATAAATAAATAAATAAATAAATAAATAAATAAATAAATAAGAAAAAAGGAACATAGCAGGGTATTGCGATTTAGCTCAATCAGAACATACATTTATCATCTCTGTCACTATTCTATTCTAAGCAGCATGTATTGAATTGTGAGGTAGGGAAGACAAAATGGCTGTTCTTATGTTAGGCAGTAGGGCCTGGACATGCCTCAGTGTTGGTGGGCCTCAACACAGGCGTGGAAAGGGGGTGAGAGGAGTCCTTGGAACATGCAGATTTACCCTGGATCAGCTGCTGCCTGCTGCCTTATGCTGAACACGAGGGGCCTTCCAGGAGGAGGGACAGCCTCTTACAGTGGGCATATTCCACCACCCAGTTGCCATCAAGTCTCATTAAACCATAACCAAGGTCAGAGTCCTTCAGTTATGTACAAGAAGTAAGGGCCCGAAACAAACAAACAAACAAACAAACTCTTAACGTGTAGCTTGATGTGCATGGCAGTGTTCAGTCCTGGATTTCAGGTCCACTGGAGAGCCACCTCAACCGGGGACCCTCGGTTGCTCACAGGCCTCTCAGATAGCTACCACAAGCATCAGAATGTACAAGGACCCAGAGAGACAAGGACAGCATTTCCTACATGGCCACAAAGGCTGTGTTAAGACTGATGGTGATGAGCAAAGGGCATGGGATAAATGTATTTAGTGGACCAAAAGAGACGTTAAAAGGTGGGCATGGTGGCACACGCCTTTAATTCCAGCACTCGGGAGGCAGAGGCAGGTGGATCTTTGTGAGTTTGAGACCAGCCTGGTCTTCAAAGTGAGTTCCAAGACAGCCAGGGAGGTTTTTTACAGAGAAACCCTGTCTCAAAAAAAATTTTTTTAATAAAGAAAATATATTGCAGCTCGGAGAGAGAGCACCGTGGTTAAGAGCACTGGCTGCTCTTTCAGGGGACCAGGGTTCAATTCACAGCACCCACATTGCAGCTCGCAACCATCTGTAACTCTAGTTTCAAGGGCTTCAGTGCCCCCTTCTGGCTTCTGTGGCCACTGCAAGCATGTGGTACCCAGACATACATGCACACAAAACACACATACACATAAAATAAAAATAAAATATTCTGTAAGAGAGACACAGAGGGCAACTTAGTGGGAGCTCTTTTATCACAGTTAATGGCAGTTCCTTGTTTTTATCTGTGAGATCATAGATGAGTCGATAGGTGAGCATCTCACTACCTTATCAAGCAGTAAAATTTACGGCACCAGGTTTCTTTCTTGAGTAAGTGAGTAAGGAGGCATTGGGCCACTAGGACCTCGACTCTAAAGGATTTTTTATTTTTTTGGTGTTTGGTTGTTTATTGTTTCCTTTAAAACGGGTTCCTCTGTGTAGCTCAGGCTGTCATGGAACTTACTATGTAGACCAGGCTAGACTCGAACTTAGAGATCCACTTGCCTGTGCCTCCCGAGTGCTGGGATTAAAAGGCTCCACTTCGAAGCATACAAAGGATTATATTAGGTATCTCAAGTCATTAGGGTCAGGCTCCAAGTGAGTTAGTGAGTGATTGCCAAAATATAGGAATTGGCTTTTATTTTTGTCCTTTTCATCCTTTTGGCTCTGGTAAGCTGTGGGGCATCTTGGGAAGATCCAGTTAGGATGGAGTCATTATAGGGCATGGGATTGTATTGAGTGGTTTCCGTAAGTACTCAGGGAATCAAGTTCATCCTGAGCTAAGCATCATGAAGAAGCAAGGACAACCTGCTGATTGATCATCTTAACTATTCTTATCTAGAGAGCAGAAGGGTCAAGGCTGGGCTGGAGTTGTCATTGGTCAAAGTGCATTAGTCATTTGTGCTAGCTGAGAGGGAAAGATGCTTGATGACTCTCAGTTGCATGGTGTCCTTGTGTTTGTCTCGATGTGCTGTGGTCACATCAAAGTCACCTTGTCTAATGCTGGCACTCTGTCACAGTCATCAGGACAACATGATAGTAAAGATACTGATAGCCAAGCCCGTACAATGATCAGCCATCTAGTTTCCCTGGAACCAAGGGCTAAGCCAGAATGCGGGACTTTCAACGCTAAGACTAGGGAAGGTAGGGCATCTGGCAGCCTTCCTTAACAGCCACTGGCAAGCTGTCAGAATCTTTTATTTTTCTTCTCTTCCTACCTTGGTTCTTCATAGAGTATGCCAAGCCCTTCCAGCCACTAGAATCTATGTGAGTAAATGCAAGTGTTTTCTAACATGTACAGGGACCAGCACAAACATCAGTACTCATAAATAAATTTACTACACAGTGAGGTCAAGGCCAGCCTGGCCTACACGAGATTCTATCTTAAAAAAAAAAAAAAAAAAAAAAAAAGATCCTCTCTTCTCCCCGAGAGAGCTGGCCCTGAGGTCATGAGAGTGGGAGAGCTGGCCACTGCTCCTGCAGCACCCAGGAGAGTTAGGCCTGCCTCTTGGTGGCTTTGGCATTGGGTAGGCTAGCTGCGGTAGTGCTGGAGAGATTGCCCTGGTGGTGTGGGTGTGGTAGAGCTGGCAGATTGACCAACTCCACTACCACCCAGGCCCAGACTCAGGGCTTTGAGTTGGCCCAACATCTACCTCATCTATGAAACTGCTGGAGCTCATGAAGGGGCTGGTCCTACAGGTATGTAAAAGTGACTTTTATACTACAGATATAATACTCATTTCCAAGGTCGCTGCCTCTGTCTGCCAACCTAGGCCTAGTCCTGGGGGCTCCTAGCCTCCAAGCAATCTTATCTAGGCCTAGACTGTTTTTAGCTCTAAGACTTACTGCAGAAAAACTCACTCTTTCTAGTTCTTTCTGAACTCTGGCTGGTTGGTTCAACTCAGCTGTTCTGGCTCAAACTCCTCTCCAAGCTGACTGATTTAGTCTGGCTTCTCGGCCTCTGACTGAACTGTTCTGCTTGGCCTCCAAGTGACTTTAGCAATCCCGTCTATTCTTCTGGCTCCTTCTGTCTTTGTCTGTATCTAGCCTGTTCTCTCTTCAACCTGTCTCTGTAAACCTCTCCAAGTTAAACTGCCTCTGAATTCCGTGAACTGAACTGCCACAAACTAAACTCTCCTCACAGCCTCTTAACTCACGGACTCCACTGAACTGCCTGAACAGAATGGACTAGAACTCAGAGGCCTGTATACCTCCGACTCCTGAGTGCTTGGGATTAAAGGCGTGTGCCACCATACCTAGACCTAAACTTTTCTTTACCTGAAATTTGGTCTATACCAGGCTGACCTTGAAATCAGAGATCTACTTGCCTCTTTTTTCCTGGGATTAAAGGTGTGTATTCCAGCCAGATCACACAGACGTAGGAGGTCTTGCCAGAGCAGCCATGTTCTGAATTAAATTTCCTCTACACAGATCCAAAGCTGCAGAATCGCCATGACGCAGGGCAACACCAGGATACCCAAGAGGAGCCCTAGTGAGGATCGAGAGTACTGAGAGCGTAGCAGAAGCCAGAGGCCTCGAACACTGATGACTCATTGCATGAATATTTGCAAATAAAGATGTGTGGACAAAAGGGTGTACTGTGTGACACACTGTGACACACTAGAGCCTCCACAACAGATGGGTTGTTTTAGTTTTTCGTTTTATTTATCTTCTTTTGGAGAAGAGGTGTCAAAAAACAGAGGGATGGCAGATGTGAAATTCACAAAGAATCAATAAGAAGTCATAAAAAAGATTCTCATATGCATGCATATTAAAAACACATAATAAGGGGCTGTAGAAATGGCTCAGAGGCTAAGAGCGCTGGCTGTTTTTCCAAAGGTCCTGAGTTCAATTCCCGTAATGGGATCTCATGCCCTTCTCTGGAGTGCAGGCATACATGCAGACAGAATAACATATAAGTCACCTCTTCCTGTTCATATTACACACACACACACACACACACACACACAGAGAGAGAGAGAGAGAGAGAGAGAGAGAGAGAGAGAGAAAGCACCATTCCCTGAATATTTATAATGATGTTTTGGTCACTGATGGACCGCATATACCATGGTACTCCTATAAGGTTTTTGTTTCATTTGAGATGTCTCACTATGCTCCCCAGGCTGGCGTTGAACTCCTAACCTGTCTGCCTTAATTTCCTGGGCACTGGGATTACAAACAGGCACCGCAATCCATAGCTAGTAGTCCAATAAACTTATATCACCTGCTTACATTATAGCTGTCCCAGTTTGTGCAAGTACACTCTTTGCTTGCACAATGGTGGCATTGCTTAAGGAGACATTTCCCAGAACATATCTCCATTGTGAAGTGACACATGACTCTATACCATAAATCCCACATACGTGTGACTATCTAAACATACAGACAGACACACCAAAAGTAAGCATATAACTAAGGCCATCAGAGCTATGGCAATGTGTTCCAGCTTGTCAATACTGAGAGTACCAGTGAATGGGCCTGTGTGAGTGACATGGAACAAAATGCCAGGGTTTGCATGTCTCCCCTAAAACATATGTCAACAGTCACTTCCAGGGATGTTGGAATAGCTCAGTGGCAGAGTACTTGCCTAACACATATGAGGCCCCAGGTTCAATTCCTAGCACTTCGCAGAAAAGAAAAGAAAGCAAGTAGGAAAGAGGAGGACATAGAAAAGAGAAGGGGAAAGGAAAGGAATAAATAAAAGAAATCATAGCTAGGCATGGTAGTGCATGCTTTTAATCCCAGCACTAGGGAGGCAGAGACAGACAGCTCCTGAGTCCGATGACAGCCTGGTCTACAGAGTGAAGTTCCAAGCCAGGTAGCCAGGGAGAACCAGCTATAATGAGACCCTGTCTTTAAAACAAAAGTGTAAGTCAGGAGGCAGGCAGAGGCAGGAGGATCTCTGAGTTCAAGGCCAGCCTGGTCTACAGAGTGAGTTCCAGGACAGCCAGAGCTACACAGAGAATCCCTGTCTCAAAAAAACAAAAGTAGCAATATTTGTCCTTATGAAGGATCATGTGGTTTATTTTTGATGTTTTAAGTAATGTGCATGCATGTGTCTCTTTGGGGGTGAGGATGGATGAGTATGTGAGTGCAGGTTCCTGAGCGGGTCAGAGAGGGTCGTGAGCCAGGGCCGCACCGGGGTGTGGAACCGCTGGGGCACTGAAGCCTTCCTGGTGCTGGGTCCCTATTGCAGTATGCAGGGAGCTGTCCTGCTGCATTCCTAGGAGAATGAAGCTTATTTACAGGTTGTGTAAGGCAGGGCCGTATTCTGCCAGAAGATCACTGTTCTGGCCTTTCGCCACTTACTGGTGCCACCTACCATCTTCAATGGGCATGGCCTTTCCCCTTTCCTCCCCACCAGGAGTGGGAACCGACTCTCCCAGCTACCTTCCGGCATTGGCACTGCAGAGGAGGGGCTGCAGGCATGGCGGAGAGTGCAGAAACAACAGCTGAAGGTTCAAGTCTCCGTTGGGCCACTTGCTAAGCATGAGGCCTGGGACCCTCTCCCTTTACTCGGCCCCAGTTTATCCCTCTGTTCTGCAACAACAATAAACCTGGAGTGGTGTGAGGAGAGAGGTCAATGAAAGAGTGGGAGCCAGGGAGGAGGAAGTGGGAGAAAAAGAGAAGTACCTAAATCTAGTCCAGAACGTGCAGACCCAAGGGACTGCATTCTCTGATTCCTGACTGGAAGTGAGGAAAGTGGCCTGGCTGTTCTCTAGCCTCCTCCGTTGGCAAGAGCGTCTCCTCCTCCCTTAAGTGAACAGCATAGAGTGTTAAGGGCGTCAAGGCTAGGGAAGACCCACACAGGGAAGATGGCACTCTGCCCTAGGCACCTATATGCTTTGCAAATTAAATAAGATGCACACCTTGCCCTTCTTTCCTTTCTTTTTCCTTTTGGTTTATTTTTATGTAGGCTAGACTGTCCTTGAACTCACAACGATCTAATCACCTCCATTTCTCAGGTACTGGAATGACGGGCGTGAGCTGCCATAGCCAGTTTGAGCATCTTTTTTTCTCTGACCCTACTGTTTTAATTTCTGGTGACGCAGGGCATTGAACCCGGTGCCCCGTGCATCGTCTGCGCTCCGCCACTGACTTGCATCTCGTTTTGACATCTTGTAGAAGGAAACAATTCGAGACGTGTGTTGGGGCGAGTATTGTGTATAGGATGGTAGACGAGGAGGTCCAGTTTGCTTGTCTGTCAGCCACACACAGCGTGCCCATCAGTTGGCACCCGAAATTGTTCAGACTCTTGCTTCCAAGAGCACTGAGCTACAGCACACCCTGAACCTCTAACAGGGAGGTGAGTCAGATCCCCGCTCTGTTCCCCAGGCTCTCACAGTCCCACCGGGGACATGCCAGGGACAGATGTAACCACCAAAGGGACAGTTTGTGCCAGGGACCAGAGCAGACTGTATGTCCTAAACACTTCAGACAAGGCTGGTAGCCAAGGGCGCATTCTTGGGGGAGGGGAGGGTTCGTGGTGGAAGGCAGGTGGGCGATGTGTTCTAGAAGCCTGGGTTCTGTCCAACCCTGTGGAACATGGGGAGGCTGAGGGAGGCTGGGCCTGGAGAGGGGCACACCCATGCAAATGGCAGCCTGAGCATAAAGGGAGCTGGAGGGGGGAGGAAGGAGCCACCTGTTCTACTGTGTGCCGGATGCTCTTCACGCATCTTCTCACACAGTCAGCACACGTTTTTTAGTATTTTTCTCATGTTCCTATTACAAATGAGGCTTCTGACACTCAGGCCAGGAGAAAGCTCTGCACAGACCAGGGTCAGCGCCAGGTTTCCCATCCCAGCCTGAAGCACTTGGAATCTGTCCTAGGCTGGGAATGCCAGAGGCTCCCCGCCCAAGGACTCAGTGGTCCAGAGAAGGCCACTCCTCCTCTCGGCAGCTTTCCAGTCCCTGTCCTCACAGAGTGGGGCACCTGCCTTATCTCTGCCTCCACCCAGGGCAATTGGATCAAGGCTTGCTGTCTTAGGGGAAAGTCCCCCTGCTCTTCATAAACCTTCAAGGTTGGAACATGTAACTGGAGAGTTTCCTCACTGTCTTTGCCACAGGGAAAACAGACAGGATTCTGCATACATTGCCAAGGACTGATGATCTCACAGGGAAATAACTGAATTCACAGAGAGTGTCAAGGCTGCTCCCCCCCCCCCCATTCATCTTTGAGGTAGGGTCTCTGTGTGTAGCTGAAGCTGGCCTCAAACTCACTACCCTCCTGCTCCAGCTCTCTGAGCTCCGGAATCACATACCAGCTTGCCAGCCCAGCATTTGATTCTTGATTGAGACATTCAAGAGGCCCTTGAGAAGGCCTGTGTCCACTCAGTGCTGGCCCGAGAAACAGTGTCCAGGCCCAGCAGACCCTTTCCATTGCACAACTAGCTCCTCCAGCAGGCCCATTTCAAGGGTTTCTGTTTTTTCTTTTCCTCCTTTCTGCAGCGGTGAATATACCTTGGGTGGGTTCGCTCTGAGCACCACCCATAGCCCTCAGATCTTGCCTTTTGACACTGTCCGCTTCCTCACTGCTTTACAGAGACAGAAATGGACACCAGGAAAGGTAGACTTGTCCTCAGTCACACACCCTGAGCTTCCAGCAAGCCCGCTAGGTCCTGAAGCCCCCTCAGTGAGTGAGTGCTGTATGGATGAATACGAGAACTCGTCACTGTGTGGATGCCCAGCGAACGGACGAGTAAGGTTCACAGCCCCGGAGACTGAAAGGCGGTGTTAATCTTCTGAGTCCTCCTGGCTCCGTGGCCCTTTCACGGTGGAAAGCTAGGTGAAACGACTGCTCGTGCATCTAAGGACACCATGGACAGAGTGGGGAGTCACCCTACAGGAGGGGAGGGGCTCTGGCTGTGCTGACAGGAACCCGTAAACCCAGCACCCAGAAAGCTGGGCAGAAGCATTGAGAGCTGAAGCTAGCCTGGCCTCTCCAGGACAAAGCTGCCAAAGAAAGGAAGAGAGAAAACAGTTGTTTGTATGTCTGAGAAGAGGTTAATATCTAAACCATATGAAGAATTCCTACAGTCCAACATCAACAATAGAAATCTCTATGTATAGCCAGGTGTGGTGGTAATCCCAGCAAGCACCTGGGGAGGCAGAGGCAGCTGGATCTTCTTGAGTTCAAGGCCAGCCTGGTCTACAAAGGGAGTCTGGGACAGCCAAGGCTACACAGAGAAACCCTGTCTCAAAAGAGGGAGAGAGAGAGAGATCTAGGCACTTAAATAACATTTCTAGAATAGAAGGAAGATACACAAATGTCCAAGAGGTATATGAATGTTGTTTAACATCACTGCTAAGTAGAGAAATCAAAAGAAAAACACAAAGAAATATTTCTCCATACCCATTAGTGTGGCTGCTTTAAAAAAAAAAAAAAAAGTCAAATGATGGGGCTGGACAAGTGGCTCAGTCATTAAGAGTACTTGCTGCTTTTCCAGAGGACCCAACTCCCTTCCCAAGACCCAGGTCGTAACTGTGTGTCACTCTAGCTTCAGAGGGTCTGAAACCCTCTTCTGGACCCTACGTGTGCCTCATACGCATGTGGCACACACTCACACAAACACACAAATAAAAAAAAAGGTTTAGATCTAAACCTAACCAGAAAAGCCTTTAAAAAAATCAAATAATAAGGATGCTGCGCTGGTGAGAATGTCTAGATTCTAGAACCTTTGTGTCCTGCCAAAGGGAGTGTGGAGTGTCACAGCCACCGTGAAAAACAGCTCTGCACATCACTCCCCCCAAAGTATATAAATGACCAGGTGGGCTGGCACACGCCCTTAATCCCAGCACCTGGGAGGGAGGCAGAGGCAGGAGGATCTTTGTGAGTTTGAGGCCAGCCTGGTCTATGCAGTGAACTCTAGGCCAGACGGTGGCAGGTGACTCCATGGTGACAGGAACATGAGGCGCCTTATAGTCTTACCCTGGTGACCGATCAGAAGACAGACAGCCCGAGCAGAAGAACGACCGGCCTGAGGTAGGGTGAACTCAGATCCAGCCTGGGCAACTTAACGAGACTCTTATCTCAAAAGGAAAATAAATGAAGAGGTTGGGGTGTAGCTGTTTTACAGTGCTTGTCTGACATGCTCAAGGCCTTGGGATCAGTCTCTCCCAGTGTAAACACTCTGACCCCACCCCTCCACCCTTCCATCTACCTGGCAGCCGGGCCCCATGTCTAAAAGGGTCTACAACCCCTCAAAACAGCGCTGCCGGCAGGAGAAGAAGTGTTCAAACCCAGGAGTCTGCAGAAGACGTTTTGCATTTAAGCCAGGCCAGCTCATAGACTGAAGTGTTGGAAGCAGGCTCTTAGAGATGTTTGTACACGCTCAGTGATAGCAACGCTGTTCCCAACAGCCCAGAAGTGAAAGCCAACCAACAGACACCAGAGTGTGGTGTGTTCCTGCAATGGGGCGCTACTTGACCCTCAGAAGGAAAGACATCCTGAGACCTGATCCAACATTAGATGAGCTCATCCAACATGGATGAGCCTGGAGACAGCATGCTGAGGCCAATAAGCTGGACAACCAAAGACAACCATGGTACAGTCGCATTCCTAGGGAGTATCTAGAGCTGCCCAAATCACAGAAACCAGAAGTAGAATGGCAGTTGCCAGGAACTGGGAGGAAGAAGTGGGTTAATAAATGTGGCCTGTCATGTCTGCAAGATGGAAACATTTGGAAGTCAGTTATGCAACAATGTGTGTGTGCTCTGACCTGTACACAGAAGCTTAAGATGATAGTTTGTGCTGTGCTCACTTTATCACAGTTTAAACAACAGCTGGCCATGGCAGACCTCGTGGGGCAGAACTCTAACCCCAGACATTCAGGAGGTGGAGGCAGGAGGATCAAGAGTTCAGTCCTTATCTAGGCTACCGAGTGAGTGCAAGACAAGCCTGGGCAACCTAATGAGGCCCTGACTCAAACTAACACCAAACCAAACAAAAAACCAAAAAAACCATGAATGGGAGAGTACGTGCCTAGGCCGTGCAGGACCTCAGTACAATGATGTCCTAAGTTCAGAACCCTGGCATCCACATGAAAAGCTGTACTCCCTGAGTTCAGAACCCTGGCATCCACATGAAAAGCTGTACTCCCTGAGTTCAGAACCCTGGCAGCCACATGAAAAGCTGTACTCCCTGAGTTCAGAACCCTGGCATCCACATGAAAAGCTGTACTCCAAACGCTGGGGAGGCAGAGACAGGGGGGCCCCTGGGATTTGCTGACCACCTAGTTTAGCCAAATCAGTGGTTGCCAGGTTCAGTGGGAGACCCTATCCCAAAAACTACAGAGGAGAGTAATTGAGCAGACACCTGCCATTTACCTCTGGCCTCTATACAAGCATATAAAGAGAAGTTTTGGGGCTCACTTCCTGGCAGTGTGGGGAGGTGGTTCTTGAGGTGATGAGCTCCTTTGAGGAGTAAACCCGGGATCACTGTCTTGCTTCCAGATACTTCTTCACTCCCCACGGGGATGTTGATGGAGGTAGAAGCCATTCATTTCTTTTCCCTCTCGTGTGACTAATGACTCCAACGTCGTCTTCCCAAGCTCCAGAATGTGCTGGAACGAGGCCTTAGTTCTCAGGCTTGAACCTTGGAGATTACCTGGTGGGAATAGTAGCTATGCAGCTGTCACCTACCCAATCCTTCAGTCTACACCTGTCTGCTGGGTACTGGCACCCGACGAAGCAGGATAGAGGATTCTCTCAGCATGCAAGAGAATGTGCAGTGTGGAGCTGATCCAGGGCACTGAGAAGGGGACCTCACCCAGTCTGGGCTGACAGCTCACAAAGCAAGTTCAGTCTTCATCTGAGACTCAGAAGATCAACAAGGCTGACCCAGTAAAGCAGGGAGGAAAGACACAGACAATGTGCCTAAGAGACACCATAGCATGGGAACTTCCTGGAGATTAGAAAATACAGAGCCCAAGGGGGGATCTGAAAACAGAGTCTGGTTCATCAAGCGAGAGGCATGAATAAGGAGGACTAAGCCAAGGAAGGAAGTAAGCAATGGGTCCCATAGGGCTTTTTAGTCACCTTTTGAGCACCTCAGGTGTGTGTGTGTGTGTGGGTGGATGTGAATATTTATGAACTAAGTTGTGTGGACCCAGCTGGAGAGGAGGTTGAAGGGGAGAGGATGCTCAGGGATTCTTCAAGCTGTAAGAAAACACCCATGCCTCTGCTCACATCTCCTTACCATCTCGGGCTAAGCTGGTCCCTGAAAAGATGCTTCGTTTGATGAGGAAGTGGTTTCCTTGACAACAGCTCCATGCACCTTCTCAGTCTCTCTGATCTGTGGTCCATTCTTGACCCTTGAGAACATCTTTGCCCTCTTCTTCAAAGCTTTGATGACTTCATCTGGCCTTCTGTCCTCTGGGATAGACAGTTCTATGTCTTACAAATCATTTCAGGTGTTGGTACATCTAGCTAGCCTTCCCAACTGTCCTCAAGGCTGCATTGGGCCTCTGAATGCCCTCTCCTCGCCTGTCCAGGTATGAACTTACAAGAGCCACCTTTGCACCCTCTGCAGCCCAGATCCACCTCCAGCTTATCAGCAGCCCTTTGCTTCTGAGGAAAAGCTGGCTCTTGAATTCTGTGCACATCTCCCAATCAGCTGTCTTTGATGGCTCTCTCTAGGAAGGCCCACAGGCAAAGGGCAGGGAAGGAGGTTCCTGGTTCTGACATTCCCTTGAGATAGGACCCAAGGCTATCCCAGGCAAAACCCCAGCAAAGGCAGAAGGCTGGCCTCCTTCCTGTACTGCTCATAGTCCATCAGGAGTCATATAGAACATTTACTGAAGGAGGGCATGGGGGCAGGGAGGGAAAATGAACAAGGCCTTGCAGAGTGGGCCCCTGGCTTGGTTGCTGGGCAAGGAGAAAGTTCTTTCAATGTGTGTGGCAGCTGGAGGCTTCCAATGGCCCGGGACACAGACTCTGAGCTAAATTAATCATGGGGCTGGGTTGCCTGGCTGCTGCTGATTCAATCATTTTCTAGCACTGACTGAACCTCAAAAGAGTCTCGGGGGAGGGGCTGGAGAGATGGCTCCATGGGTAAGAGCTCTGGCTGCTCTTGCTGAAGTCTAGGGCTCCTTTCACAGCCCTCCATAACTCCAGTTCCACAGCACCTGACACTCTCGTACGGCCTTCACAAACACCATGAACATGGTGCACAGATACACACACAGCAAACCCCGTGATCATACTCGTGAAATAAACAGATCTAAAATCGATTTGTTTTTAACAGAACAGCAGCGGCGAGACTGGGAGATGGTTCAGTTGGTAAAAGTGCTCACCACAAAACCATGAAGACTTGAGTTCAACCCCGGCATCTCTGTACATCATCTTCATCATCATCATCAGAGTGCAACAGCACGCATCTGTAATCGCACTGTTGGAGGTAGAGGCAGGAGGATCTTGGGGACTCACTGGCCAACCACCCTAGTTGTGAGCCCCAGACCAGTGAGACCCTGTCTCTAAAAGCAGGGTGGGCAGCTGCTAAGGAATGACATCTTAGCTTGATCTCTGGTCATATGTGTGTGAACACTCACACACATACACACACACACACACACACACACACACATGCACGCACATGCACACGCACATGCACACGCACACGCACCCACACACTCATGCATAACCCCACACACAACAGAAGAGGAGGAGGATAAGTAGGAGGAGGAGAAGGAGGAGGACCAACCAAGGCCCCCAAAGTCTATGGCATGGAAAAGGATTATTGGGAGAAACCGGAAAACAGTAGCCAGCTAATTTGGAAATGCTGAGTTTTGTCCCAGCTCCGTCAAGGTAGTCCAGAACAACGGTAGTACCTGAACCAAGGGTAGTATTAGAAATGAACCTGACTTCATGAATTCACACTCCGTGTGACACTAGGGAAGCCACCTCAGTGCTCCGAGCCCACGCTTTAGGCTGGTATGGAGGAGAATCAGGACGCAGAGTTCACAAGTTGTAAATTTTGTTCTTGGGGGAAGAGAGCCTAGGCTGGTAGCTGTGGTGGCTCCTCCAGGGCCCTGGGCCATGGGAGAGGCTTCCTTCCAGAGAAACTAGAATCGGGGTATTGTCCTGTGCATCTGAAACTCTTTTGTCTCCTGTCTTCCTGCCTCTTGTTCACTTTGGTAGCTCTGTGGGAGTAGACAGGGCTGGGAGCTACTTGTTGTTTTACTGTAACTTCCCATCCTGCCTGGCTCTGCAACCTGGGCCCATCTGCTCTGCCGTAATCATTCTGCCAGGCATTGAGGTATCTCTTACACAGACCCCCCCAGACCTCCTGATGGGTCCAGCAGTGCATGGGTGGCCTAACAGCCTGAAAACATGCCTAACAGCTGTCAATCCCACCCTGTGAGGTGCAGCTTCCAGCCTGGAGGCTTTTCTGCCTTCAGCTCTACAGGTGTCTTTGTCAGGCTGTGTCACTAACAGAGACAGCCTCTCTGGCACCCTCCCTTCTTACCTGACACCCACAGGTCACCCATGAAGCATCTGCTGTGTGCAGCATGGGGCCACGAGGGTCAAGGGCACCTGAGAGACACAGCGCAGTCTACACCCCATCCCCCAGCAGCACACAGCCATCAGCCTGCGCAAGGTCCCACTTTGCTCTTCCCTGCCCCTACGACTCCTCCTCGCTAGACACTGGACCACACAGGCTCTTCTCCAGGCATCCTTGTTGGGCTGTCTCCATTGCTTTCCCCAAGCTCCGGCACTGGCTTGGCACCCACATGGGGCACTCACAGGTGTTTAAAGTCTGTCTGGCTCTGTGTCTTCAGGTCTCAGTTTCCCCACTTCTAAAGTGGAACAGTAACATCTAGCATTTTGTGCAGTGGATGAAACGGTCCACCAACCAGCTTGGACTACATGCTAGGGTATTATGCTCCGTGGGTGCAGCATTTTAATTTCTAATCCTTGGCAGCAAACGCTGCCCCTGACTTTGCTGGGTCAAAGCTGCTGAAGGCCTGGTTGGGTAGATTGATGCTATGTGGAATGGCTGAGTATGTAAACAGCATATGAAGCAATATTTGCTGTTTTCCCATGGCAGTCAGGAAGTGGGGACCAGGAAGATTCTGAAAGAAAATAACCTTTATTGTCTACCTATCACACATCAATGCTCAACATATATAAGAAAAGATTACTGCAGAATGAGGAAGCAGCCGGCGGCTAGGTCAAGTCAGTAGGCCAGACTTGCATAGAGAGTATGAAGAACCTGTGACTTTGACAGATCCCCTGATACCTAGGAGGGGACCTGCTTGCTGGCCGGCTGGCCAGATACCCCCAGGCCTCTCAGTTCTGATCATAGGCTTTGAAACTCCTGAGGACAGGATGCCTGGGTAGGCAAGGTAGGGACAACGCCCAGCTCCAAGGGTCATGTGTCAACTCCTCAGCTGAGAACTTGGCTTTGGGGAATCAAAGGCTAGAGGTGGGTTGGACTGCAAAGACGGCTTAGCCCCTGCTCTGTCCAGCCCTGGCTGGGGGCTCTCCAAGGCCACTTCTCCCGCAGCCTGTGCCTGGAAGGAATGGAGTCTGGCCTGCTTTCCTAGTAACCTGAAGCCTTTCTTTCTTGTCTTAGCCCTACCTGACCCTGCTAAGTCTTCCTGGTTGTTACTCCTCCTGCTGCCCCTCCTCCTTACTCCCACCTCCTGATTCCAAAAACACTCTGATTGCCAGGGTGGGTCAATGGTTAACACTCATCAGGCTTTATATAAGCTGCCCCAGGCCACCTGCTGTGAACTGTTTTCAGCCCTTCAGTTTCGTGGCTCCCGGAGGCAGCTGCTTTGGCAGCCTCAGCCTGACTGGTCCACACCATGGCTACCTGTTGGCAGGGCCTTTGGGCTTATCGTTTCTACCTGATCGTGCTATGTCTGCCCATTTTCCTATTGCCTCTGCCAATCATTGTGCGAACTAAGGTAAGGACTTGTGGGTCTTACTCCTCACAGTTAATCCTTGGGGCGGCAAGGGAGAGATCATCAGGGTCAAAGTGGAGCATCCTTAGGTTTTCCTCTTCACTTCCCTTCCCCGGAAAGTGAGGCCACCACCTCCTGGTGCTTCTGACAGCATGAGTGGTTTCCGCAGGACAACTCGGTCCCTATGCAGACTGCTCGGGTACTTGGGAGCCAACTGTTTGAAGACAGAAAGCCAGCTGCATAAAAGCAATGCAGGAGCAGTCAGATGAGTTTATCTTACCACTGTGTGCCCACTCAGCCCTGAGCTCAATGCCAGCCAGCAACAGGAAGAGGCAAGTGGGTAGCTAGATTTTGAGAGGGTGATTAGGAGAGAGCTGGCCTCAGGCAGTTGTGCCTTCCCAGGTAAAAATAGAATAACCCACCTGCAATCTCATGGGCGGGTCACTGAGGAACCCTTCAGTGGACAGACGGGGCACGGGGCACAAGGTACCCGCCCCTTTCCCCAGAACCTTGCTCTTATCCTGAGATGGGTGAACTCCCACCACTTCTCCTGTCTGTAACATGTACCCAGAAACCCTATTCCTCATCTTACAAGGCGGGTCCTACTGTCCCATTTTACAGATGGGGAGAGGAAAGATAAGGCAGTTTTTCAGCCTCAAGACCGAACTCGATTCTGTGAAGTTTGGTTCATTAGCCCTTACGGGTTTCTCTATTAAAAAAAAATAAAAAATTAAAGCCGGGTGTGATGTCGTACACCTTTGATCCCAGCACTTGGGAGACAGAGTCAGACAGATCTGTGAGTTCAAGGGCAGCCTGATCTACAGAGTTCCAGGACAGCCAGGGCTATACAGAGGGATTCTGTCTCAGAAAAAAAAAAATAAAAAGAAAAATGAACATTATTAAATAAGAAATCTAAAATTAGCCTGAGGGTCTGAGGGTATAGGTCAGTGGTAAGGCTCTTGCCTGCCTTGTGCAAGGCCTGGGATTTGATCCCTCGCATCACCAAAACTAACAAACACGCAAAAAAAAAAAAAAAAAAATTTCTATATTTTAGCTGGGTGGTGGTGGAGCATGCCTTTAAGCTCAACACTTGGGAGGCAGAGGCAAGCAGATCCCTGAGAGTTCAAGGCCAGCCAGGTCTACAGAGTTCCAGGACAACCAGGGCTCAAAACAAACAAACAAACAAACAACCCTAGAAATCCCTAAATTTTAACAAAATTCTCTTAGGGGTTTGGGAAGGAAGCCTCCAAGAGGGTCTCCTACCTCAACTTCATGTTTGGAGGGGGCAGAGCTGGAGGTGTGGCCCTGTCTCTAAAGATCAGTCTTGGCCTTGGACCATCCCACACCCCTGGGACTGACCAATGAGCTACTACTTGTTGCTGCAGATAGGGAAGTCAAGGAAGGTCTTTGGCTTGTATTATTTCTGGGGAGGAGGCCCAGGATATGGCCCCTAAGGCTTGTCCAGTGATAAGGCTTTGGAGATGACCTTCTCAGACAAGTGACATCTCTAAGCAGGGGATCGCTGGGACAGATTTCAGACAGGCTGGAACACGTGAGCCAGCACCGCCACCATCCTGGGAGAGGCACAGGTAGCTCAGGAAGACTCATTGTTTTTGCCCCAGGGTCACATGCTCTCGTGTAGTGGGGAGGCACGAGTTGGTGTGAGAAGCCGTGCCTGTTGGTGGGGTGTGATGTGTTGGGAGCTCTGGGCTTTGGTCTGCTGGCCCTGGCCCTGCCACCTGCCTCTGGCACACAGGCTCTGCTAACCCTTTCCTGACTGAACCTCCTGTCCTGAGAGGCCAGGCTTCCAGTGTTCTAGCCCAAGTCCCATTCTCTCCTTCCTCAACCATGCCCAAGATTTGCCTAACCGGTCGCATCCCCCTTGCCATGTTGTCTTCACTTGACATCGGTGACACCTAGCTCTGCCCTGTCCTCACACCATTCCCGGGCTCCTCCTCCATCAGACTCTACTGCTTTCCCAGCATCCCTCCTGTGTCCTCCATACCCCTCCTGACTCCTGGCCAGGTAATTGAATGCTGTCTCATAATTGGAAAAGCATCTCTCTAGCTGGGTGTGGTGGCCCCCACCTCTAACCTCAGCATTTAGGAGGCTGAAGCAGCAGGATCAAGAGCTCAAGGCCAGCCTGGGCTGGGTGGTGAGAACCTGCCTGAAAACCAAAACAAGAACCTCCCCTCCCTCAAGGATCTCTATGCCCCCCAAGTCCTCGGTCTGGGATCCCACTCCAAACCAACACAACTGTATTAGCTAAGTAACTTGGTACTCGGTCCACATGAATATTTACTTCTCTGTAAGCAGCCTAGGTTTCTCCCATCCAAATCAGAGCTCAGACTGGCAGTTCAGAAGACTCTTCCCCATAGTCCTACTGAGAAATGTTTCAACCTACTGCTCAATGCTGGCCGAGACTCAGGCCATTCTGGATGGCCCACTTCCCTCCATCTACTCACATCAGCAGGTCCTGTGCGCTCAACACAGGACAAAAAAAGTTTCTGATTTATGATCCCAGAAAACTCACTCTAAGTTGAGGCCTTTGTAAACGGAGAACACACTACATGCGCCCACTAATACCACTAACCACGGCACCACAGCTCAGGGCAGAGCAGGGTTTGCTAATCTTCCTCACTCTGCCCAGGAGCTGTGGCTTGCTACCACCACCTACTATCACCAGTATGACAGGTTGCCAGCCTGGGGAAAGCTTGCAGCATCCTACAGCAAATCATAGGCGAGACTGTCAGAAGTTGGGGACATCCATCATCTTCTTCTTTTCTTTGAGAAAGGGTTTCTCTGTGTAGCCTTGGCTATCCTGGACTCACTTTATAAATCAGGCTACCCTCAAGCTCACAGAGCTCCGCCTGCCTCTGCCTCCCCCCATCCAGTGCTTGAGATTACAGGCCTGTGCCACCATGCCTGGCTTGGCTGACATCTGTGTTCTGAACTGCTGCCTCTCTACCCTGTCATTTTTCACCTGTCCCAGCCTTCCTGACATCACTCCCCACCCTGCTGTCAGGGGCATTCCCAAGACCTCCTTCCAACCCCACACTGCCTTCCTATTAAACTTAGAAATCAATATGAATTTAAGATGTCCCAGTCCCCAAGGCCCCACAGCAGCAGATCACTCCCTCAGCCGCTCCCACCTCTGCTGCCCGAGACGTCCCTCAGCTCCCCTTTGGGCTCTCCTCTCATTCCTCCCCTTCTTTACAGCTCCACACAAACCTACTTCAGAAACCCTCTGTCACACCATCTGGCATTTAATTTACAGAGCAGCCCCCGTTTGAAAGAATGTGTCTGGGGCTGGGGATGTGGCTCTGTGGGTAGAGAATGTTTGCATAGCATACATGAAGCCATGGCTTGAGTCCTCAGCACTGCAGAAACTGAGCATGGTGGCACACTTCTGAAATCACAGCAGTTGGGGTATGGATGCAGGAGGATCAGAAGTTCAGGGTCATCCTTAGCTACGCAATGAGTCTGAAGCTAGCCTGGGATCTATGAGGTCCTGTTTACTTTTCTTACCTTTCTTCTGTGAGGCAGGAGCTTTGGCTTGCTCTCTGTAGACCCCTAACCTCCTGGCTCTGGCCCCTAACGTGGGAAAGGGAGCCCCAGCTGAGGCTCAGACCTCTGCAATAAAACAGCTAACGTTTACTGAATGTGTTTTACGTGCTCGGCATTGGGCCAAACACCTGGAAGACTTAGCTCAGCAATTCCCTCGAAGGCTTAGCTCACTTGTCTCCCATAGAGGCCTCTGTTTGACTGTGATATTCTGCTATCCACATTTCACAGACATGTAAACCGAGGCCTGGAGGGGTGATATAACTTGCTTTCAATGCCCTCTGGGGAAAAATGTTGGGACAGTAATCTGATGTTGGGGTCTCTGAAGCTGTCTAGAGAGGCAAAGAAGCCTCCCCACAGCCCTCAGGCCTTCCTCCTTCATGACCACCCTGCATTTTCCTGTCATCAACATCTGCGACGCCCTTGCTATTTTCCAGGGCCACAGGACAAAAATACAAATGTTCTGCCCTCAACCTAATCAGGGTCCCTAGGAGGAGATGGGTGTTTGTGCCACACAGGTGTAGCAAGAAGGCTGAAGCCCTCAGAGCAGGCAGTGGCCCCTTCAAAGGAGCCAAGGGGGGCTGAGTAGCCAGGTAAAGCATAGCTGTGAGAGGCCCAGAGAGGGTAGGCAGCGGCGAAAGCATGGGGCCAGCAATAACCGATGTGTGAAAGACACAACATGACAACCAACCTCTTGAAGCACTGCCTGTCCCCTTTGGCAGTGCCAGCTGGTAGAGCACACAGTGCGGGATTTGCCCCGTCTTGCAGGCACTGCCTGGAAGAAACTTTATACCGTTCATCTCTTCCCTCATGGGTGAGCCTCACACTCAGTGTTTGTGGCAGGTACCGTTTCTGTGTTCTGGAGAGAAGGTGTGGGGGAGCTGTCATCCATCCCTGTGGGGGTGACACGGGGACACATACAAAAAAGGGGTGTACTGCCCAAGCGGTGGGAGTACTATGGCAGGTGTTGACGTATGTGGGCTGGGAGGAACTGCCCTCAGCACAGGGCTCCAGTCAGGCCACCCAGGGAGTGGACAGTTACCCTAGGACCAGAGAGGCAGTAAGAGCCAGCTAGACCCAGCTCTGGGTGAAGAACTGTCCAGACAGAACCTGCAGCAGGTGCAAAGTGCCAACGCAGGGGTAAGCTTGGCAAGCTGACAGGGCAAATAGCACAGCCTCGCTTGGCGCCTGTATGATTGGTGTCAGTCAGGTTCAAAGAGAAGGGGGAGAGGGCAGACAATGGCAGCCCTGGGAAGCTGGGGAAGATATGGGACTTTATGCTTCAGGTAATACGTCAGTCGAAAATGCAAAACCTCTTGGAACCTAAAAATATTGTAATCAGTAATGGTGCCATAAATGGTGTCCGGGGGATCAGATGAGACTGAATGTGTTTATGTTAAGAACGGAAAAGAGCAAAATATCTGGTTTTGTTTGTCTGA